CAGGGGGTCTCCAGACACAGAACAGCAAAATAATGATTTTCCAAGTCTCACCGACTCCAGGTTATCACCAAAAAACCTCTCCCACGCGGGCCGTATACAGCTGACGTGCCACTCAGGCTGGTTCCAAGATGGAGTCCTCCTGACTCCTGGACAGAGACCTCCCTTGTCCTCCAGATGGAACCCTGACCATTACCCAGCACCCTCCTCATAAGGGCTGTGCACAGGTGCGCCAGCATTCGGTGCCGGTCACCACTAAAGCCCGGACACAGGAATGGAGATTTCTTCCCTCCCAGTTCTCTTAGAAATCTCCAGGCTCCGGGATCCCAACTATAATCCAGAAAACCCGGAAGGAGTTGTAAAGCCGGCTCTTCCCTGGTAACCGTACTTTCCCGGAGCCGCTCAGCCCCCCTGGCTGGGCGTTCTGGGTGACTTTGAGGCCACATTATACCGTGGTATTGCCACAACATATCTATACAAACACACGTGGAGGTCTCGAGCCACGTGAAGGTGTGTACTCTAGATCACAGGGAGTACCAAAAGTGACAACGGATCATAAACATTTAACGTACAACTAAAGGTTCTGTACGGCATTCTAAACTAACCCCAAACCCAATCACTATGTGATGTACAAGCCCCATAATGTAAACAGATCATTTCCTTTACCCCGTCAGACCGAGCACAATCCTCCTTCGTATACATCTCACCCGTCTCCCTCCCAGGCACTGCAGCTCAGAGACAGAGGCAGCACTGCCAATCCAGAACCAGTGGGCAGGACTGGGTGTGGCTACGTGCCGACTGACAAGCTACAGGCAATGGTTCAGCCTTGTACCTGTGGTATAAATACAAATCCCATCATGCACCTGTCTCTGGGAGCCATGCCTGAGGCTGTCAGGACCTTGCAATGCCTCATGTGATTGGCAGTTGCACCGCAGCTGGAGGGCCGGAGTTTACCTGCCCCCGGGCTACAGGCTGCTCACAGCAGTGACAATACTGATGGCCACAGGCCCTGTAACATCATCTCACCCGCTACAGTGCAAACGGGCAACGCGTACATGAGGGTGACAACTCTGCTCTGGATGCAGAGCAGTGCAGGACTGTTGTCACCCCATCGCAGGAAGCTGCATTAGGTGGACGTCACTGGCGGGATCAACAGGTATTTGTGGGACTTTGCTCGCGGACTGATAGAACACAGTGTGCAGATGTATTCAGTTTTTAGAGTACTGCACCGTGTATGTTTTATCATTCTAATGTCAGGAATTAAATGCTAATCACACAAAGGTTTTCCGTCCACAACAGGAAACGGGCTTCATGTCATGATAGACGCATTGTGAGATTTAGCTTCCATTGGTGGCACATTAAGGACGGAGTGCACTCGCTTACCACATCTTTTTAAAGGGCCTCTTTGCCCACTTTTATTACTTCAAACATAAAAGTCCACTCAGGTGTTTCCCTCGCAGGGGGTCTCCAGACACAGAACAGCAAAATAATGATTTTCCAAGTCTCACCGACTCCAGGTTATCACCAAAAAACCTCTCCCACGCGGGCCGTATACAGCTGACGTGCCACTCAGGCTGGTTCCAAGATGGAGTCCTCCTGACTCCTGGACAGAGACCTCCCTTGTCCTCCAGATGGAACCCTGACCATTACCCAGCACCCTCCTCATAAGGGCTGTGCACAGGTGCGCCATCATTCGGTGCCGGTCACCACTAAAGCCCGGACACAGGAATGGAGATTTCTTCCCTCCCAGTTCTCTTAGAAATCTCCAGGCTCCGGGATCCCAACTATAATCCAGAAAACCCGGAAGGAGTTGTAAAGCCGGCTCTTCCCTGGTAACCGTACTTTCCCGGAGCCGCTCAGCCCCCCTGGCTGGGCGTTCTGGGTGACTTTGAGGCCACATTATACCGTGGTATTGCCACAACATATCTATACAAACACACGTGGAGGTCTCGAGCCACGTGAAGGTGTGTACTCTAGATCACAGGGAGTACCAAAAGTGACAACGGATCATAAACATTTAACGTACAACTAAAGGTTCTGTACGGCATTCTAAACTAACCCCAAACCCAATCACTATGTGATGTACAAGCCCCATAATGTAAACAGATCATTTCCTTTACCCCGTCAGACCGAGCACAATCCTCCTTCGTATACATCTCACCCGTCTCCCTCCCAGGCACTGCAGCTCAGAGACAGAGGCAGCACTGCCAATCCAGAACCAGTGGGCAGGACTGGGTGTGGCTACGTGCCGACTGACAAGCTACAGGCAATGGTTCAGCCTTGTACCTGTGGTATAAATACAAATCCCATCATGCACCTGTCTCTGGGAGCCATGCCTGAGGCTGTCAGGACCTTGCAATGCCTCATGTGATTGGCAGTTGCACCGCAGCTGGAGGGCCGGAGTTTACCTGCCCCCGGGCTACAGGCTGCTCACAGCAGTGACAATACTGATGGCCACAGGCCCTGTAACATCATCTCACCCGCTACAGTGCAAACGGGCAACGCGTACATGAGGGTGACAACTCTGCTCTGGATGCAGAGCAGTGCAGGACTGTTGTCACCCCATCGCAGGAAGCTGCATTAGGTGGACGTCACTGGCGGGATCAACAGGTATTTGTGGGACTTTGCTCGCGGACTGATAGAACACAGTGTGCAGATGTATTCAGTTTTTAGAGTACTGCACCGTGTATGTTTTATCATTCTAATGTCAGGAATTAAATGCTAATCACACAAATGGGAATGATAACCGCGACACAAAGATCGGTATCAGACCTGCCGGAAAGTAATGCCCTGGCTCCGCGCCGTTGTCTTCTCTCATCTGATGCTTGCTACATAAAGAGAACCTGTCATTGGGCACTACAACCCCTCCACCATAGTAGAGGCTCAGCAGAACCCGGGAGGCCAGCGATGGCGGCGGCACGATCCGCGCAGCACGAA